ACAATTTATTAAATGCGATTTTATATAAAATGAATTTGAAATACTTTTTTCGATATAATACGTTTTCAACCATTACGCATGCGTAACATCCCCAATCGTACTACCTTCTGAAGTGAAGTAAATGGAGCCTGTTCTTATTTGATCCATGGAGTATGTTCTAACGCGTCTCGAAGTCGCCATATTGGTTCCGAGATGCGATGTATTGGAGCATGTGACGCGACAAATCTCTAAAGTTACATGATCGCTACCCTGATCCTAAATAGAGGCTAAGTTGGATTAGGTTACACTTTTTGTTGGCTTGGTTCGACTATTGCATTTGTAGTCTGTCACAAATTGATTGCAATTTAGAGCAATTATTATTGTTTGTATATATTTTATAGAAATCTGCGTGAATGATGGCGTACGTATCTTTCAGAATTCAGAAAAGTTTACAAGATTAAAGTATGTAGATATAAAATTGATGAGTATATATAATAATAGGGAATGTAGATATGGTTGTGAGGAAACCATATGTTTTGTTAATTTAAACATGAGATTTTGTACAACATATTAATGTAAAATTTAACTTGTTACAGGTCCAAAGTCACATTCAGAATCACTCTCACGTCCGATCCTAATCTGCCATACAAAGTGTAAGTGGCTGTTTGAAATAGAAATTGTCTTTGTTGTGTGTGTGTGTGTGTGTGTGTGTGTGTGTGTGTGTGTGTGTGTGTGTGTATATGTGTGTATAGAATAACATGCAAGTTGCTGGCTCTGAAATCTTTAAGACTATCGATGCGTTTCTCACGCTACTGCAGAGTCCAGCTATTAATGAACAAATGACTGTAGAAAATGCTACACAAGCTTTCAACTGTGCTCACTTCATCGAAATCACCGTTGCCCAAGTGCAAGCTGAAAACAGAACATTCCCCTTTGAGAAATGTTTACGTCGAAAGTTGAAGAGAAAGCTATTTCTACAAAATCAGAATATTACATGCTCTGATCTAGAAAAAGCTTGCGATAAATTATTGGAACATTATTTGAAGGACAATCGTATTTCTACGGAAATAGTTGATGAATATCTAAAATTGTACACTCTACATTTTGGACAGGATAGATTAAATGTCTTTCTAAATCAAGTAATAAGCAGTTCTATCGCCACAAACATAATTATAGATTCTTTAGGAGAATTAGGAGTACCATTATCAGGCATGGAAGACGAGGCATTAATTATGTCATGGCAAATGGCAATAGCTAATGATGATCAAGATGAAGTAGTGAAATGCATAAATAAAATGTTAAATGATAATCATGTTTCAAGACTTGTACACTTAACGGTTGAATCAGATGACGATACAATTAAAGAATTGGTTGTACAAACTTTTACTTCAAAATTAACTGATTATGATCCTGAAATATGCGTAGCTTTAGCAGATACTGAAAAGAAATCTCTCTTAAGATTACTTCAAGATAGTACTCGATTTTGCATAGATTTTGTTGATGCAATATTTTATTTTGGTCGAAATATGTACCTTGTAGATGGAAAGTGGTGCTCAGATTTTAAATTTGAATACGAACATCTTTGTCAGATAGTGAAAATTTTGTTAAATGGTCCCTGCGTAATTCGCAAACAAGTATACAATAGAATGTCTACTGTTAAAACTCAACCAGATAGTGAGATATGGAGTAATGTTGAAGCAGATATCTTAAATTAATTAAATTAATTAAATTTCCAGATTTTTTTCATTTTTGTAATATAAATTATACTTTGTATATTGTCCTATAATCATGTATTGCCTATAATCGTTCTATGTAATTTTTGCAAAAAAGAATAAAAACTTTCTCTACCGCTTATATTGTTAACGAAATAATTACCAATCCTGTATTAAAAGATATTTAAGATGTTATGAAAAAAATATATTTGCTTTATATATATTTGTAAGAGGATATTTTCTTTGTCACTATATAGTTTTGCCAGTGTCTTGTAAAATAAGAAACACATGTATTATTTTATTAATTGCAGACTTAGTGTACCAGAAAATACTCCATTTACTGCTGTATTAAAATTTGCTGCTGAAGAATTTAGAGTGCCGCCAGCTACGTCGGCCATAATTACAGATGATGGAATAGGTATTAATCCTCAACAAACTGCAGGTAGATCTTGAAATATATATCGCAATATCTTCATTTTAAATATTATATATTGAATATTAAATATTGAATTTAAATATTATATATTGAATATTAAATATTGAATTTAAATATTATATATTGAATATTAAATAAATTTATACTTTCAGGAAATGTATTTCTTAAACATGGTGCAGAGCTCAGATTGATTCCCAGGGATCGCGTTGGATACATTAGATGATTTATGTAATATCGTATTTATTTTTATTGTATCTTTGCATACTGCGTAAAAAAATTATAAAATTATCGCTGTCAAATATTATGAAATTGCATATATATATATTCTATAAATTACGCAATTATAAAAAATTACTTATTCAAATAAA